AGTCCTGATGCTCAGAAAAAAGGAAATCTAATTCATAAGTTCATAAACGATTTGCATGATTGTTAATGAGCATGTCCATGCTCCAACTCGTACTTAGCCGTTTTTCTAGTAGCTGTGACCACAACCTTTTTTGAAGGCTGGATCCGCGCTTGTTGTCCTCAACTAGTCTTTTTATAATTTTCATTTATTAGCGGTGTTATTTCATACTGTAATCCATATCTGTGCCAATTTTATTCAAACCCGTGTTGTTGGGCAAGTAGATGTAATAGTATCATTGTATGCCGTGTGTCGGTAGGTCCGCGAGTGCCTGGAGCACACGTCAGCCCCGATGGACGGCGCGGGTCTGACGGAGGCGCTGCACGGGCGCGGCATCAACGTGCGCTACCTGGGCCGCGTGGCCGCCGCGCTGCGCCCGCACCCCCAGCTGGCCTACCTGCACGCCATCGCGCTCGCAGAGCTACTGCTGCGCGCCGCCAAGCATATCTACACCGCATATCTGCAGGTATATCTATCTTCCTACCTTACAGCTATATAAACAGCATAACCTTCACACACAAATGTGACCTAAGAACGATTATTTGTCAAATCAAACTATTATCAATAATTGTTCATGTTTCTCTCGCAATGTGAGAATTGAGTCTATGACATTCGATTATCCGGCGGCTATCGAATGCGTAGTATAGTATTGTTATAATTGCCAGTAGATTTTTTTTGATAGCACTACCAATAAATGTAAAAATTGAATAATTATTAAATAAACTGATCTAAAGATAATTTTACTAAGATAACGAAATGAAATAGTAAATTATGCTACTATTTTATTAACACGCGGTACATGATTGCGTTTGATCCCACAATCCTAGCTATGTATTGAGTTTAGTGGCCTCTATTTATGGTAATCCGATGGTCACTTTGATATGTACAATTTTTAAGACAGGTTCGTCTAAACAATCAGCTTTCGTTCCAGGGTTGTGAGGCGATGTGTATCGGCGCGGCAGTGGCCCACTTCCTGAACTGCCTGCTGGGCGCGTGCCCCAGCCCCGCGCTGAGCGCGGCGGAGGGCCCGGGCGCGGCGCGGGGCGCGGCGCGAGGCGGTCGCGGCCGGCGCGCGCGCAGGCATGCCCACGCTGCCCCCCCACCCGACCCCCACCCCGACTGGCACAACCTCACTCCCAAGTCACTCTTCTCACAGATCAAACAAGAACTTAAGGTGACGTATACAACTTCTTAACATATTCATTCATATGAAAAGTAATTCTAGCATCGCTTTACCATCCAAAAAGTACAAAAATATTAAAATTTATGTCGCATTTTACAGGCTTCACTTCACTGTTTTCTTCGGCACAGCAAATGGAAACTGTCAATGATATATAATTGTAATATTTTTACAGGCGTATTGGGGTTATGAACTCAATGCAGACAGCATGGATTCAGTTATAGAAAAACATGGTTTACAGAAAATTTCACTTCTCAGGTAAATTACTCATGAATTCCCTTTAACGTCATATCAATACATGTTCCATTTTTAAACAGTAAAATAATATGTTAATGTAACATTTTCAGATCTTTCGCGCTCAAAGTTGGTCTTCAGTTAATGTTACGCGAATACGACTTCGACAGCAAGAACAAGGCGCCATTCACGGCAAATGATATTATGAACATTTTCCCCGTTGTCAAGCATATCAACCCACGCGTAAGTAGAAACTTCTAAACCTATATAAGACTACCTAATTAGGGATAATTTTGATAAAGACCAAGTGTGGGAGAGTCATGCTTCGGCACGGATGGGTCGGCTCGACCGGAGTGATACCACGACATCACAGAAAACCGGGATGAAGCAATACTTCCGTCGGTGTCGTCGTGTGAGTGAGTTTACAGGAGGCCCATCTACTCATTCGTAACAAACCACGAGAGCCCTCATTTAATTTTACTGATAGCGTTATTCTGCTAAGATATGAGCGCTTAAAAATTAATAATTTATTGTCTCCCCAGGCATCAGACGCATACAACTTCTACACGACTGGCCAGAACAAAATTCAGGCAGGCGCAGTATCTGAGGGTCACGAATTGATTGCCGAGGCACTGAATCTGTTGAACAACGTATACGGCGCAATGCACGGCGAGATTGCGCAATGTTTGCGCATGGTTGCGCGACTGTGCTACGTTACTGGGGAACACAGAGACGCCATGGCCTACCAACAGAAAGCTGTTCTTATGTCCGAAAGAGTCAACGGAATTGATCATCCTTATACTATTACTGAATATGTAAGTTTTTCTGCATTTGTACTAATAATTTTCTAGCTTTTGTTCTGTAACCTTGTGATTGATCAGATGTTTTATTTTATTTTAGTAGTCTGGTTTTTTCTCTACTCTACGATTAAAGTCTATCTTTCTACCAAATGACACCAAAATCGGTTCAGTGATTAATGCGTAAAACTGTTACACACAAAAACACAGTCATTTCAGCATTTGCAATAAATCAGGAAACATAATTTATATTAATTTACGTACAAAACATAGTCTGTTACTTATATGACTGTTATTTACATATTTTATTGTTTTATTTCCAGTCTCACTTGGCGCTGTACTGCTTCGCAAACGGGCAGGTCAGCACAGCGTTGAAGCTATTGTACCGCGCTCGCTACCTCGCACTACTCGTCTGTGGCGAGAATCACCCGGAAATGGCTTTACTTGATGTAAGTTAATAGTCATGTTTTATTGAATGGGAGTGAACTATCGAGGGTTTTCTAATAAGATTGAGTCTTAGAGATACACAATTTTTTTACACCACTTTAAATATTATAATATGGGTACCTTTTTTTTGTGAGGGGGAAATCTTCAAATGATTTCTGTCGCCCTGTATGAGTCGAGAAGGGGTGTCAGACTCTTACTGACTAAAAACCCCCGTTTCTTCTCCTGGTCTAGGCCAAGGCCGCCTTATTGCGCTTGCCCCGCAATCCCGGCTAACGTAATTACCTTATAAGTTGGTAAAAACGAATAAGGGAAAATTAATCTACATTATCCAGGTGTGATCTTAATATGTTGTAAAAGTATTGATTTTTTAGGTCAATAATGTCGAAATATCCTCAATGTCTGAAGTGAAATGAATACATGTTATTTTCCTCTGTGCAGAGCAACATCGCGCTGATCCTGCACGCGGTGGGCGAGTACGAGCTGTCGCTGCGGTTCGCGGAGCGCGCGCTGGCCGTGACGTGCGCGTCGCACGGGCCGCGCTCGCTCAAGGCGGCCGTCGCCAGGCATCTGCTCGCCCGCACGCTCTCCTGTCTCGGCGACTTCCGCGCCGCGCTGCAACACGAGAAGGAGACATACTCCATCTACAAACAACAGGTTATTACCACCATTATTTTTAGTTTTTAAGCCTTAGTAAAACAATAAAGCCACATTCTCGTAGGGGACCGGTGACCAGTGTGATATACTCCATCTACAAACAACTGGTTATTACCACTGTCATTTCATTTCTTAAGCCTTAGTAAAACATTCAAGGCACATCCTCCGCTACCGTATTTCACCGGTGACCGGTGAGACATAAGCCATTATTTACAAATAACCACTATCATTTCATTTCTTAAGCCTTGATCAATGGTTAGACAAAAGTTACCTGGGGAGTAATTATGATGCTGTCGCGTCAGAATGTTTGTATAAAACAACAACAATCTTATTCCTCAGATAACATTTATCTGACTATTGAAAAATCAGCCCTTAGTAAAACATTAAATACAAATACTCAGCTACCGTAAGTCACCGCTGACCTTCGTGGCGGTTATTATGCTAAAGAAACGTCCTACACTAGGATTTTCTCCTGTTTCTTGAGTACGTTTACAAACATAAACGTTGACATACACATCACACCCTGACCCGAAATAACTATTTATGGATCACACAAAGACTTATTCCGAGCGGGAATAAATCCGGCGAAATCACGGCAGCCGCTTGCAAAACCACCGCGTCAATCGTGCTTTCATTGATATACAAGTCATAGTATAATTATATAGAACTTTCAAGTTGTTATTGCTAATGTGGTGGTAGTCGTAGATATGAAAAGTGTGATCATACCTTCGCATATAGTCTATACGCGTATTATGCTATATACTTAATTAGCATTGTAATAGCCAACTGACTAAATGTTATGAAAGACAAAACAATTTTAGGACTACGGAAACAGATCTAAAATAGCAGAAAATTAAATTATACGTATTTACTGTTTGCCTGTGTTTGACAGTTGGGAGAGAAGCATGAGAAGACACGCGAGTCTTCAGAATGCCTGCGGCACCTGACGCAGCAGGCGGTGGTGCTGCAGAAGCGCCTGGCGGAGGCCTACGCCCGCTCCCCCCATGCCGCGCCCGCGCCCCCGCCCCTACACATCCAGCCCCCCGGCATGGCTTCCGTCATCGATATGCTCAACCTTATCAACGGCATACTCTTCGTGCAGATCAGGTTAGAACACTGGATACTTCACTCTTTATGTACATATTTTCAGCATTTACTGATAAACCCGTACCCCCTTATTACAAAACAAGATTTATCTATAGTCCAGGTTTAAAACATTGAGTCGTGTTTTGAATTTTGAATCTTATTGTCATCTACCTACAATCGAAATACAAAATCTGGCTCAATGGTTTAGTCTCCTAGACTAGTAAAACCTTGTTTTGTAATAAGGCCGAAAGGATTGAGATTGGCCGATCTCGGACAACAGTTCGACTTATACTCAGTACAGTTTTACTTATTTGGCATTCAGCGCCATGGCAATTTTTGGAAAAGCTATGGTGTATCATTAAGAATAACACCGGCGCTGAGCGGGTTAAAATGTATATGTGTAAGATATTGTGAGATAAAAACATTATACCCTTTGTGAGTAACGATGTTGTACACACACAACATTAAACATTCTGAATTTAAAAATAGAATTATGAAAATCAATAACTTTGTGAACATTTAAAAAATGTAAGACATTTTTTTGCTTATTTACCTATAAATTTTACAGCCCACAAGACATTGAGCAATTCAAAGCGGAAATAGAAAAAAGACAGCTGAAGGAGCTCCCTATCCCCGGCGTGCTGGGCGAGCTGGGAACTGAGCAGAAGAAGGGTTCCGCGGAGGCAGAGGCGGCGGCGGACAGTTGAAGGGGAGCCGGGCAGGGCTGGCTCGCTCACACATGTTCCACGTATTGGACATTTCAATATATACATTGTTACTTTAATATAATTATTGATTGATGATATTGTTCCTTATCTATGAATGTATGCGGTAGTGGATAGTGTGCTAAGGTTTGATGTAGATTTTTTGTTAGAAAAGTTTTGAGGATATTATTTTGATCAAATAATTAAGTGTTATTTTGAATGAATTCTCGCGGAGTGCGATAGTTGATGCATGTTGCGTACATTTCGCTCAAATCACGCAGATCTAGTTTTAATTTTACGCTTCCGTTTGGGATTCACAATTTTATCAACACCCAAAGTAGTGCAATTTCAAGTAGTGATAATAGCAATAAGTTTTGGTTGTGAACCTGAGACCGTGTGCGTCGCTATGTTATGGTAACTGGTGCTACTGCCAATTTGTCCTTCATATATATTATAATGGTTTTATGAATTGTTATTGTCGAGTATTATTTTTTTTAACTAGTACGGGAGTATATTGTTGAAACACCTGTAGCAGTAGAAATTCAGTTATATTGTGATTGAAATGTAACAGGATTAGAATGCTACCCGCATGCAAATTGAAGATAGTTTATTTTATATCAACGGAATGAGTTTCGCTCGATACGAACACTGCCTTTATCGTTACATTTTAGTTTCAGGTTTAGTTGTTAGTGCCATATATGAATGTAGTGCATGTAAGTTTGTGTAATATTTTCGTTAGTCTGTGATATAGCATGTTTATCATCGAGTGACTTGCCTTGTTATGCAATAAAGATATTGTACCTGGCAATATGTTTCGGCTTCCATGTCTGTTTAATACGTAAACTAAGATCTAATAAATCAATCAAACATAAATTATAAAATGTATTATAATGGATATTATATACTTTGGTCAATATTGTGTAATATACAAGCCTTGTGAACAAATCACGTAGCTACGGTGTATTCATGTTATACTTCTACGATATAAATCAACTATTCTTATAATGGGTATTGATATCTTGTCAGTGACGCCAAATGAACAAGTGTTTATGAATGAATGTTTTTTGGGAAAATATAATGTATTTTAAGAGTACTTTGCCTTTCAAAATCAACAGTTTGTATGTCATGTCGTCATCCGTTGTTAACTGTGTCGCTACATATCCGAATTAGATTTGTTGTGTTAGCACATCATCCTTCACTGTGAGCATCGAAACATAAGCTTTTATAGTCATATAGTTTTGTTTGTACGGAACAAATGTTTATTGATTGTCGACAGCAACAAATGTGAATAGTGTTGGCCAACCACTTGATCTGTAGTTTTATCTTCATGTTGTTATATAACCTATTCTAACCATGTAACTTATGGGTTTACATAGTTGTGCTTTGAGTCAATTCATGTAGTTTACATATTTCAGGCCATACTGGTGTATGTAAAAAGTATACTGTTACCACTTTATAGTAATAGATTGCACGTTAATGCGTATCGATAAGATCGTGTCACTCGTCAGACAAACCATCGTCATTGTGCGCACTTGTATATCACTGAAATGTTTGTAACATTATAAAAATATTGTGTGGAATGTTGATTGTTATATTACGATATAATATTGACTTGTCCATATAACTGTGTTACGACGCGACGGTACTAATATGGAACGGTTGTCATCGATACGCACATCTAACTGTGCTCGTTAGCTAAATATATAAGAATGTTGTTCGATGAAGTACGTGCCTAAGCAAACAATAATCAATCGTTGTTGTTACATTTCTTTAACAATATGATGACTATGTAAATACGGCGCTGTTCGTAGTATGATAATAAAAAATCGTTTTTAAAAAAAACATTTTTTTTTATTTCTTTATCTTCATTGCATACACACAAGCATTATGGAATTCTGTAAGATTATATGCCACATTCGATACATTTAGGTACTTGCTACTCAAAAAAGTATACAGAACAAATGTTACCTTTTAAATATTGTACTTACTATAGTACTTGATAACTCTACATAACACATACAAATATATATGTAGAAATTGAGTGTTTAATACAACAATGCCATCAAGGATAAAGGCAGTTTTATACATTTACACATTTACTGACTAAGGTTCCCCTTAGAATCTCATTTGACTGTTTTGACTTGAACCTTGCTTCTGTTAAGATTTTCTGAGAAGCCATCTCTAACCTACTATAAATAAGCATAGTTTCAGCCAAAGGCGCTAAGCAAATAGCGCAAAGTACTAGGTCAATAATTGTATTTAGACAAGTTTCTGGTCAGGATATGGAACAGTCTTAAATAAGCAAAAATCTTTGAAAAAATGGTAGCTAGTTAGCTAGAACCATTATGCTGGTATTTTTAAAGCTTATAGCTGCACTTCAACAGGATTGTATTGCTGGTGTTATTTTCTTGCTCGTGGTCTAGGCCTTGGTCTAGCTCGGGGCCTGGGCCTAGGACGTCGGCGGCGAGCTCGTGAGGACCGGCCTCGCTCCAACTGTGCCGCTACGAGCTCGCCAAGCGCGCCACGTTCCGCCAACATTGATAAGAATGTGCAGATAAACTCGTCGTAGTTGTGCGTGCGACGACAGTCGTCCACCTGAAACACATAAGTTACTTTGATTAGATTTTAGAGTTTTCAGAAGTTATTGTTTTTTATGGTATAAGGTAGCGGATGAGTCGGCGTTGGCGCTGGGAGCCAGGTGCGAGGCAATTGCATTAAGGGACTATGGCCTCGACTTAGAGAGACTTAGAGAAGAAACGGAGTGTATAGTCAGTAAGAGACATTTCTTCTCATAGTACCCTGGGCGAGAGATATAATTTGATGATTTCGCCCTTGAGGTTTGACTATTGGGGATATGAGGAAAGGGCTTTGCTTCCGGTTACCTCAAACACGCACTTTTATAAAAATGAATTAGTTCAACCTTTTTGTATAAATTAAATTATTATGGATATGCAAAGAACCATGCTTTGATTGTGTAACACAATGACACATAGAGAGACAAAAATAGTTTTGTCTTTAGAATGATGGAAACCGGAAACCTCTTTTTGCACTTAAATTAGTGAGTGGTTTTTATGATTAAAACCATACTCAAAGTCACAAATTCCTAGTAACACTATTAGTAATATGGGCTGAGCTAACCTTGTACATATCCCTTTTATCATTCTCATCGTTGAGAGCCTGTTGGCATTGCTGGACTTCGTTCACGATGCTACTCATCAAGGCGTTCAGTTCCGAATGAGTCAGCAACAGTTTTCTGAGTTTGATTGGCTGATCTGGTTCTGTCTCACAACAGACAAGTACTGGTGCGTCATTGCTCTTTACCAGGGCCGTTATGGATGTTGGGTATAACTGGAAAGAAGAGTTAAATATTACAATGAAATGAACATGCCTTTGATCAGAATATCAGAACTTGCTATCTACATGTGTATTTAAAATTAGTTTGTAAAATTGTAAAAAAATATGGAATTCCTAGCTGATGCATTTTGATATTTCATTTTAATGTCATGTTTCTTCTCAATCATCTTTGTACTTGAGTGTTATATTTGCACGCCGTAAGTAGTAGTTATATAAAAAACCAAGCCCCAAGCGACACATTAAAATAAATCTCGAATTACTTAAAACTTTACATACAGTTGGTTTCGATTCTCATTACCAATAATATTTCAATTCTATCTATTATTGTTATACTTACATCTCCAACTATTTGATTGTCCCTGTTGATTGTAATAAACTTAACAACCGCACCCTGCTCTACTGGATCAACTAGAAAATATAAACAAATCACAGTAAATTACAGATCTCACACAACCATATAAATACTTTAGTTAGTTTACAATTTTGTTAATATGGAACTTGTATTTCAAGATAAGATTACATTTAAATCTAAGATATTTGTAAAAACAGAGACAGTTTATTTAATATCCTAGTTTCCTACTTACCTAGAATAATGCTGCTGTCTTGTTGTGGACGATCATTGGCCCCGATTTCAATAGTAATAGGACGAGTGTAGTCTACATCATACAACTGCAACTGAGATGATTCTAAGGCAGTCAGTATTGTCTCTTCACTGATTTGCACTATATTTTCGTTTAGGGAGTTTTCATTGCTTTCTTCTGAGAGTGATTCTCCTTCCTCTGTAAGAAGTGTCATAAGTTTTTTTAAGTTCTTCTGCCACATTCACATTAACAGCCTATAAGGGCTCACAGCTGCTTGTTTTCAAACAGAAAAAGGGTTGAGCATTAATGACCACTATTTCTCAAGGTACCTAGATCGTTGCTTAGAATGTGCAGATTGCCACACAATGTTTTCATGCACCATTTAATTTTGTCAATGGGGTTTAAATAAACTTAAAAAGTACACATAACACTTAGAAAAAATCTGTGACTTTTTAGGAGTTTGAGACTTCTGTATGTAAAATACTGTGATTTTTTTATTGGTGTAATTGAAATAAATAATTTGACTTTTGCAACAAGATTGTATGGCCTAAATATAACATTGGAGTGTTTGCAACTTACCATTAATTTCCCTGCGCTTTGATAACAGATGTCTTAAATGTTTTCCAATCTTTGAAATTGCTTCTTTTACTCTTTTTTGGTTCATTTCTAAAGCATTTAACTTCTGTGTCAATGCTATCCGTCTGTCAGGTACAACAGCCATTAAGTTGAATCTGGAATGATAATGGAACAATTGTGTTAATCATGTTTCTGGAAAAGAGAGAGAGGATTATGGATATGCTTTTTTACTTATCAATTTTATATTATGACACAGCTTTTTATATTATTTATTATAAGCCTTTATTTGACCGTGCTATAGCATTGTATTCAATACACAATAATAATAAATATTGCACAAACAATAGAATTTAAACTAATAATACTTATTTTTTTATACCTTATATCATGTACTTGTTCTCCGGCATCTCTACCAAGTCTCTCAGCCATCACTCTCCTGAACTTATCAGTCCAATCTTCCTCAGCTGCCCATGGTCCATGGTCAGTGGGATATGGCTTCAGGCCATCCAGTTCAAACAAATGCCCATTTATGGGGACAAAACATACAAAATGATATGCTTCACCTGAAAATGTTATTTATTGTTGTTAAGAATTAAGTATATATCCTTGGCAGTTTTCCATATTTACTTTCTTCATGGATGCTACTGACCGAATTTTAATGAAACTTTAGAAGTCATATGCAATATTATTGTCTAAAAATTCAGTACACATTCTCAGTTCTTACTGTAAGCAATTTTAAGTTCAGTAGTTTTAAAGGTTGTAGGTATCTTTAATTCTATTATATTTAATGTAATAGAAATGTAAACATGCATACTTTACATGATAAGACCTTTACTAAGCAGTAAACAAACTAAAACTAGTAACTGTTTATAACAAGAGAAAAAACACCTACATACCCATATTTATACTTCATTCAGTCATTGATTTTTTTATATTTGATACAGAGAATTTGTTTTCATATACTTAATGAAATAAATAATATAAAGTGTGGTGTTTTCAGCTACACTAAAGTTTTCTGATAAGTGTCTAATGTAGTTCTACCTGTGAAGCGTCCAGTTGATACTCCAGCATTCTTATCAGCCTTCTTCCTAGCTTGTGGGATGGCATGGGAGTTGTGAGCACAAGCCAGCTCTGGTGTGTTTCCTATGGCCCAGCCTTTATTCTCAGGATTCATTCCCAGAGTATGGTGCTGTTTATTTACAAACAAAGATTAAGTCAAATTGTAGTAACAAAAGGCTTTTTGTGTTTTATTACAAAAGAAAAAGATAATACCTTTAACCTGCTCAGTGTTTCGCCTAAATGGAGATTAGGATAGTTCAATAATATAGACAGCAAAGCATGAGTAGCACAGCTGTTTGGAACCATTTGTTGTGCAAAAAATATACTGTTTATAGTTTCCTCGTCGCGCACGAAACTTTCAATCTGTTCTACAAATTTTCTACGGGACCTTCTCTCTTCTATCCATCGAAATAAAAAGATAAACCCATATACTGGGCTTTCTAAGGGTTTATGCAGGTCATAAATCTCTTCTACCTGAACCCCTTTTACACCGAAATCCTCTAACAAAAGAGTAAACAGTCCCGGATCACTTTCCAATTCAAGCCATCCTTCTACTAAACTGTTTATTTCCACCGGCATGTTTTTCATATATTACTGTTATTTGAGATGAAACAGCAGATATTCAGATAATAAATCAGTGTATTTGTTTGAATTTGTATTTTATAAATTATGAAACTTCAATGTTTTTGTCACTTATAATTGTCATTGTTATGTCACTGTCACCATTTATAATTTGCATGCACGTTACATTCTATGTCACTGTCAAACAGCCTCTGACTGACTGACAAACTAATGGGCAAAGTTAACTAAACGTTAGCAGTAAATTAATATTTAATTACAATTTAATGGATATCACACTACTTATTACATTGTTAAAGATTTTATAAATAACAAAAAGAAAATGGTAGACAGAACAGTAAACGGTAGATCCAGCATTCAAGTCGACTATGACTAAATGATTGTATCCAAATAAATGAATTGTTATTATGAATCAAAATACGTTTGGTAATTTGGTTCACTATTACCTTACCCCTGCAGATACAATCCCAGTCTGCCTTTAACTGTTTCAATAGTGAGAGTGTGCTGCAGCCCCGCGCTGCACATCTGGGCGGAGGACGTATCGTATGAAGCATGGCAAGTCTCCGGGCCACGATGTGCTCAGCGTCGAGTACCTATAAGTAATCCATTTTGATAAGCTTGTCTTGCTAAATAATACTTGTATCGATCATAGTTATTTAACTTCAGATTTTAAGAAAACTATAGTTGTTCCTATTGTAAAGAATAGGATCGGCGAAGATCTAGCTTATCTAATTAGAATTACCGACCGATCTCACTGGGCTCTATATTTTCTAAAGTGTTTGAAAATATTATTTTTATGAACTATCTGACTGAACTTTATGTGGAACGACTTTGAAAATTGTTACCTACCAAGTTTAAATATCTCGGGCATAAAGTAACCGAAAAATTCTTGGATGACAAAGTCTTAGTCTGGTTTTGCCGTCCTAATATAGAAACTCAGGGTTTCATTCTACACAAGAGTAGCCCTGAGCTGTAATAGAATTGTGACTGCTGTGTTCCGTGTTATCTATCTCAGAAGAGAGATGAAAGACTATTTATCATAAAAACTTATTACTTTATATTCTTACTGGTTAATTATTTTAGGAATTTAGAATGTATGTATGTATGTAGAATATTTACTTTAATTTTAATTTATTTATTGTAACATCATCATGAGCCGGAAGACATTCCCTACTGAATAAGGGGCCTCATCCTCATGAGGATGTCGACGGTCAATCTAACGGGAAGCCTATCTACGTTACGTTTCGATCCATCGCCGCCACTCTAGTTGTTACTCCGAGCCCATCGACCGCCATCCCTTCGAGCGATGTGGCCTGTCCATTGCCACTTCAGCCTGCCGATTTTACGGGATTTTATCGCGCCAGGAAACGAGTCTGTGTGTCTCTAAAAGGTCAGAAGGACGATATTTCAGTTCCAGGAACCTTTTTCCATCCTATTTCTCAATCAGTAAATTTAATTAATTATTACTTACGGTTGACATGGGTACAAATGGGAGTTATCAAAATAGAAGTAAAGTTTTGGCTGGGACCTCTAGATTTTGTGATATTAAAAAATTTGATCATGGACTAGAACAAACCTAGACCCAAGCTATTCTATCCTTATAGATTATTAGTAGGTATTCATAAACATATATTTGTAACTAATTTTGTAACCGAGCCCATTCTAGGCCAAGGTCACTCTTATCCTAACCCTTTATCAGCAAATTAATCGTAACAGGGTGAAGTTCGGGGCCGGGGATTATGAAGATACTATTATTCTTTTTTTTCTAACGTTGCTCTACACTCGGATTTTCTTCTGTATCGATGTTAACAAAGGGGCAAACATACAATTTCACATACACACAAAACCCAAACCCATAGCAACTATTTGTGGAACACACAAAGAGTTGTTACTTGCAGGGACTTGGCTTGGCTTACTTTTTAAGTGTGGGAGAGCCATGCTTCAGCACGAATAGGTCGGCTCGACCGAAGTGATACCACGGCCTCAGAGAAAACCGGCGTGAAACAACCACAGCGTTGTGTTTCGCCGTGTGAGTGAGGTTACCGGAGGCCTATTCCTTCCCCTCCCCTAATCCCTCCTCAATCCCTAAATCTCCAAATCTCTAATCCCTAAAAGGTCGGCAACGCACTCGTCACTCCTCCGTTGCGGGTGTCCATGGGCGGCACTGATTGCTTACCATCAGGTAATCCGTCTGCTCGTTTGCCGACCTATTACATAAAAAAAGGGATCGAACCCGCGACACGTTGCGCAGCAGCCAATTGCCCAGCCACCGCACCCACTGTGCAGTCTTTATTGGAACCTTCCAGATTTTTGGACGATTTTCGAGTAGGCTGCCGACACATTCGTGCCGAAGCATGGCTCCCTCATTTACTTCAATAAAATTCTGGTTATGTAAAAAAATACGACAGCAGCAAGGTTGCAAATAAATGTGAACAATAAAACAATTGTTACTTTCAACAACATTTATTTTTGTTTATATACACTCTTATCTTCCGAACTTTGTACAATGTACAAATAATAAATGCACAACTTCAGCATTGTAAAATCCTCATAAAGACTTGCAGGCACGCGCTGTTTGAATCAATTAGTAATAAGCACACGATTTAAGTATTATTTATTAAACAGTATTGGTCCCATTTTTATCATTCGAAAGCACACGGCTAGTTATGATTGATTTTTGTTAATGGTTTCTCAATTTGCAATTCTAAGTATTCCTAAAGTTGTTAGGCCACGAGATCCATAGTGAAGAAGATTCTCGATTTAATTAAATCTACGTTCCTAATCGACTATAAACTCGTTAGTACATCCGATATTGTTGGTTTCCATTTCGTATTTTGAATGTATTACATTATTATCTTCAAATCAACTGCAATTAACATGCCAAATCGTCAGTTGTAGCAAATTGGGTGTATTGACTAGCATTATATACCCAGTGCAAATATTTGATTTTGCACGTTTTCCTATTTTAGTCTGAAGCACTTAAATGAGCGTCACTTTGTTCGAAATATAAGTTGTGCAATCAGAATATGTACAAATTACAAATTATTATGCATGACTGGATTATCTAACAGAATATTTAAGTAAATATGTTTTAATTTGAAGACTAGAATAGACAAATCGGATGGGGAAACTATAATATCACTACTAAGGTAATAAACTCGAGTCAACTAAGTGATGATACTAACGGTCATTATCACAACGACAAGCTAACGATGAGTTTCAGTTATCAAATCTTCTAATTAATTTTACACAACATTGTTCAAACATTATGTTCAATATAAGTTTCACATCTGATGATGTACATTTCTTTTGTGTTTCAGAAGGTGATAGGCAGTATATTACTTCTACAGGCTCGTGAACAAACTATTAAATAAGAAAAGTGCTGGCATGAAACACTGATGTTGCACACACCAGTGACAAATTCAGAGGATTTTGAATGAATGGCACAGTCACGTAGGACACTACTACTGCTTTAAAACATATATAATTGATATAAACAGATATGTACGGGTGTCTGTTGTCCACCGGCCGACCCGATCCACGGCTGTCGACCGTTGACTTATCCTACTTTATCATTATTTGGAACCACAGTGGTGCTCTGTATGGAACACAATTTATAAAATAATTATTGGAAGAATTCTTAACTTATCTGCCTAACTATAGGTACATATTTAACAAAACACTATTTTACAAAATTTCATAATAATTATGTACAGAGCAGGAAATAAGTAACTAATAATAACTTCCCTATTATCACATAAGTACGCAGCGCTCTTACTCGACCACCTACATTAAATTAAAACAATAGTTTCATGTTAGGATATGTACGTACAATATAAATATAATACCGAGACATTGTTGCGATGTCAACAACGTGGACTAATTGCTATATACGAGTCTCATCACATGAAACAGCAGTCGATTTAAAGTAACAAAGTTGTCCAGCCGGGCTTTCATCTGATGGCGTGCGTGGGGTTGTATGGTGGCGGCGGCGTCTTGGGCACCTGCGACCTGTGGATGGGCGCGATGGCGGTCATCGGGCTGGTGGGCGGCACCGAGTCGTCGGGCTGGCCGGGGATGATGGCCACATCCGTCAGGTGGGGCGTCGGCGGCAGGTCGTGTCGGGCGCTGCTCGTCGCGGGGAGGAGGCGCGCTGGGTTCAGCTTGATAGCGTCGTCGTATGTCGGCGGGGCTCCCGCCACCGTGTCGTAGTCTGGAGGCTTCTGCTGCATTGTTTCTTCATCTGGCATTGAAATTACGTGGATGGGATCATCAATCTGAAATTTATAAACAATACGATTAGATTGTTATTGATAAGGGAATAATACAATGTAATGTACAATGATAAGGTTGAAAAATGTTTATCTTGGTGGGTTTGAAACTGTATTGTAAGACTTATTTGTCATAGGATCATAATTGGCATGTAAGTAAGCCTACCTGGTGAGTGTCAGGTGAGGCGCGGTCGGTCTGTGGCTGCCTCGCGGGCGACTGCAGCCAGCAACACATGGCGGCACATATGAGCAGGGCTCCTGCAACGATGCAGGCCACGCCCACGTAGCGCACGGGCTCCGCGTAGTCTTCTGCCAGGCCTAGCCAATTGATCAGCGCGCCGGCGCACAGCAACACCATGCCATACCTGTATGGCCTCTGTGATTGTCTGCCTTCGTCTAGGGACATGCCTGAAATCAAAACAATTGGTGTCATTAGTACTATGAACTGCTAGTTCTGGGGTTTCGTGACTAAAGCTAAACTTTCGCTTTTATGACACTTAACGACATAATGGTATCGGTCACAGGAAGGAGGTAGATCCGGAAGCTCGAAACTGTTAACTCATCAAATGGTGGAAAGTAAATACCATGTAGTTTAGTGGGGCAATGACACGGCGTAATAACGGGATTCTGTATTCACAAACCGGTGATCGAAACGAAAGTTGGGAAAGTTCACAATTAGATGACACGAAACGTGGATTGTTCTATTCAATAAATGTGGGTTGCTCATTCAGAGTCCCGTAATTACGGAAAGGTCATGGAAACAATTGTTTTTCCCGTGGTAGCGATGAGGAATATTTCATGAGAGTTAATTTCGAAGTGGTCGAGTGTCGATGATCGAGGTTAGCGCGAAGACAATGGTCTCTCCGGGGAAGTGGGTCAAGTTCGCGACGTGCGGTGGAGTGCGCCGAGCGGTCACGCGGACTGCGGTCCAAACAGTCATCAAGAATCAAGATGATACACGGACACACGATGACTTTACTACACAGGGCAACTCGCACTTTAACGAGCAAGCAGAGGTGGAAAACCGTTGGAAGTTGGTCCAAGGTTCAAGCGGCTATCGATGTCGTGATTAAGTTTTATCAATCAGCAATTAGTAACATCGACGTTTTTCCTCAAGAATCTAGTTCTGTCTGTTGTTCTGTTAAGTTTTATTATTATCGGATCCTAAATGACCAGACTTTGAAAAGTATCTGAAAGTGTTATTCGCATTTTAGTTTATTTTTTTTTACAGTAATAAGTTAATAATGTAGAAATTTGGGGAGTATTAATCGTACGCGCGATCGTATGCAAATAGTTAATATGCAGTTGGGCAAACAGGGGACGATAAGGCTTTATGTTATTGCATTCTCAATGATGATTTTTAAATGTTTACTTATATAAGGATTGGTAAAAAATGATGGAATGCACGCATTGAATCATGATTCGAAACGTGCGTGTTTTAAGATAAGTGAAAGATAATAAATCTTTGCATGGCATTTTCATTAGTCTGGGAATTCCACGACGATTTTCTTTATGTTCAGATTGTCAACTACATTCCGGTTTTCATGTTAGTAATCCTTTTGTACCGAATACCCCTATGTGATGTATCTGTTAACTGTCTCTGTTTAGTGAAAACTAAGGGGATGGTTATTGCTAAATCTGTATCTTTTTAGCATTAACTATGGGGATGGCTATCTATGTCTAAGCAGATACAGTTCTGTACAGATGCTTCTATTGAAAAATGTAAACACTTATTATGTTTTTGCGATCCCGAATTGTATCTGAAATCTAGCGATCCGTAGTTGCAATTGCGATTATTTTATTAAGGGCATAGGTACAACCGAGATTTCGTAAAAAACCTAATAATATTGTGAACACGAAAGTTTGTAATTACCTATGGTTGGATTTTTGGTGTTCATTCACGTAGAAACTACTCGAAACTGAACTAATCTGATTATAGACTCTGGAATAACAATATTTTTATGCTAATACTGCGATATCAGAAGGTAGTTTACTTTAGTTCACTTCCATTATTCTATCATAGTAGGCAAAGATTATCGATGCAGCACAAAACAGGTTTTCGATCTGCTCAAATAGGAACATAAATATTTATCACTCAAAAATGTAATCGTTACTCCGCTTTCCAAGATACTTGCTATCTTAGAATCTAAGATGTATTTAGTGTAACAACTTGTACTAAAGTTATTTACTTACAAATAACCGGTCCTCTTGCTCTTAAATCATTTTCGTAGGGTCCATACGGATATATGGTGCCTAATGCCATTTTTCCGAATTCAATTCACTGGTCACCATCGACATTAAAAACTCCAGTGACATCCAAATAAAAACAATATGGCCGCCTGTCAACTGCGTGCGATGTCACGATTATTTTTAAAGTTACAGGTATTATTTGAACTAGAATATGCAAATGTTCACTTCCTCTCAATTATCAGAGTGTACTGAAGGAAGAATTGAGCAAGAGCATCGCACTATCTTATCGGTTATTTGATACCCAGACGGATTTGATTGTAGGTCAACATCTTGACAACTACGTAAGTACTTAAGTACATCTCGGCAAATATTTTGCAATGTCCCTTTTGTAGGATTGTGGGTAACGTAATAGTAGTGTTTTACTATTAACAACTCGGTCACATCTTATCAAAGATATCACAGAAATGAGCGAATGTTTCTCCACTAAATTCACGCCTGTTATTCTTAATTGTGATAGGCAGGGATTCAATTGCAGTAGGAGTTCTACACATTTTGGATTTTGATAAATACGGAAAAATGCCGTAATATAAAATTTTCTAAAGCACGGATTAATTGCGGTCGCAGGATAAATGAAACAGTTCCTGTTATCCGTGGCTGCGGTTGAATTTCAATCATTGTGGGCCCGACAGTCTTATTTAAAGCAGCCATGCGCTGCACAAATTCCACCAACAACATAGTGAGAATAACCCTGTTCCAATAACGTTGACAGGTTTCCGATTATGATAATTATTGGCAGATTTAAAGTTTTAGGCTGGTTGCAGGCTGGTAACACTTGTAAGCGGTCTTTTCGCCCACTCGTACGAGTACGGCTTCGACGTCGCGGACAACTCGGTTTCGTTAAAGCGATAATATTCGTTAAATGGATTAAACCTACACAATAGTTGAATAACGGTATTCCTCATACTGTTATTTTGTTATTAAAAAAGAAATGATATAAACATTATTTTTACTTTTATCTAAATAACATATTTGTGTTACAGTTTATCTTCCATTGTAAAAACAAAGTTCCATCCATTATCGGGGAGAGTATTAGAATATTTTGTTTGTTGGCTTGCTATGCAGTAGCATAAATCATTGTCAGTCCATGGTTATCTTATCACTAGTATTTTTTTGGTATGTTCTTTGAATGCAGAAACGAAATGTTAGACAATCTGGCGGTGACATTAAGTGGTAGAAACGACACACATCGCAAACGCGTTAAATTTTTCCTACTGGAATGGGAATGCTTTAAATGTTAACAATATCTACTTAATAGTACTCATAAAGTCGCTTTCTCTGTCTCCATATGTATAAAAAACATCCAATAAATAGTAAGGAAATTTAGCATCAGCATCACAACCAAAAGCCTGGGTTTTTTCGAGCGGGTCGCTGGTACTTACATAGTAATCTTTTTTCTCCAAAGTCTTGCAAAGGTGACGCATAATATGTTTCTCGTATGTGTACCTACGCGTAAGGTTATATGGTGGTCTTTCTACAAAATCTATGAACTCACAAAGAATAAATTCATAAACAAACGTGTTTTCTGTCTGGTCAAAACGGTTATAACTTAGGTGCGGTACCTAACGATATTTTGACCTCGATTGTGTTATTTGTTTTATTGATTCCTAATGTCATTAAAATGTGATTAATGACAAACAGGTGACCAATTTATAAACCAAATTGTAGCTGTTGTTTTGAATTAGGTATCTCAAAATACATAGTTCCTGAAGTAGATAGGAAATCTCAGAAGTCTCTGTGTTATCTGTTTACATTCTCAATTTTGGAGAAGTGTTTATTAAAAGTTTGTGAAAAATATTAAAGATTTTGTTTCTTTTTTTTTTTTTTTAAATCGAACTTCCTATGAATACCTCAACTTTTGAATATAGAACAGATAATAGTTAGAGGATAGTCTCTGGAACCAATGAAATGGGCGATGAATTTCTGATTGTATTTTTTTATTGAAATTTGACATGACAAAAACAGTTTTTGTTCGTTCTTAATTCAAAAAATTATCTCTGCCATTGCATAACGGATACCTGTCAATCAAGATAATTAATTCTCGCAAAAAATAATGACAAGACTTGTTCAGGGAAGACGTTACTTGACTATTGCGAATAACTTAGCAGACGAAACAAGAATATAAGTATAGGTATTGATTATGCAAAGGAAGGTTATCTAGCTGATTATGATTTTTTTATTCCCACGAATGCGAACTCAATGACGTGACATAGATATCGACTCGCGCGGTTTTGCGAATAATGCCTTGTCATCCATTTAGGAATACTTAAAGAAAATTTTTAAATTTCGAATCGCAAACATAAAAGGTTTCCTTGAAACGAATAAGAATCAGCCAGTATTTTGTACGCCTGCTATCAAAGATATATAATCTTATTATTATAAAAACAAAAATGCATCTTTAACTTATCTAATAACTAGCTATTCTCGCGCAGTTTCACCCGCTGCTCCATTTAATCTTAGCGTGATGTTTTATAGCCTATAGCACTCAGGAATATTGTATCTACCTATCAGTGAAAGAATTTTGGCAATCCGACCAGCGTTTCCAAAGATTACCCCAAATTTTACCTCTTTATAAATTAAGTTTAATAATATCTTATTTTGGCATCTGCAAGTATCAATTTACAATCTAGTTTTTACCGATGCATGTAAAAAAGATACATTTTTTTAGTTAATGTCCTTCAGACGATGTCTGTCGAGACGGACGCGTAGAGGACCTTGTTTGGGGATAACACGTTTCCTTTGTCAGATACCCATACCTACAATAGCATATGTGGAATGTACTTAAATATCAACGAAGTAGGATTTTGTACAAAGGCAAGCCACTTGAGCAAACTACGTATCAAGTCTAGAAAAAAAATGCTAATACGGTAACGACTTTATACAGGTATTAGTCATTTTCAATATGCTGATAACAACGTAATATAGTTTTATATTATGCAATACCTACAAATAAACTATAAAATCGTAAAAATAACTGACAATTACAAAAAATATAATAGGTACCTACATTCTGTGATATTTACATGGTCACACACTATTAGGATTTAAGAACTGCTTTCTCAATGTCAAAAACAGTTTAATATTATTAATAAGAGATTTCTCGTAAGTATACCAATACGGCCGCGTGGTCTGGATAGTTCCGTTTCAATTTTTCTATCGAC